GGATATCCATTATACTCACACAAAGTAGGCACAGTATTGCATACCACCTACAGTTATTGTGAACAGGAGGCATCAATAGGTAAGGCTTTGTGGCATCAGGTGACAACAGCAGTCATTCTCAGACAAAATATGAGACAAAATAAGCAAAGTCCTGATGATGCCAAGCTTAGAAAGGCACTGGAAAATCTACAATACAAATCATGTACAGAGTCTGTCACAATGTGCTCTGCCACAGTCCCCTGGTCGGCCTAGGACGATCCCCCGGTGGCGGGAGCCACCACACCATGTGACCACATGGTTGTATCAATGGCGGAGCAATCGGACCGGAGCAGAGCTCCGGCCACACTTCTTTTGTTGCATTGTTCCTGTGGCCAAGTGGCCCTTGTTCTACTTTTGGACTCTATTGTTCTTTCTCCTATTGTTCTGCCATGGGAATGCTTTCCCTTGCTCATGTATATAAAGAGCAATGTAGCGACCTGTAATATCACTTCTGTGACCCACTTCGACTTCAGCCCCTCTTGTGGCATTCAGTCCTTCAGTGCTAGTGCTGTGCAACTGCTCCCTGCGTCGCCTTATGATAGAGTCTGATATCAAGCATCTGCAGGGATGTATAGCAGGTAGGGGAGATGAAAAACCAAAGCTTAATCAGCCTAGATTCAGAAATATATTTGTGATCACAGCATGGAATGCATACAGAGATAAAATAAATGAGCTGGGCTGTGCAAGATTTGCAAGGGAAACTGGACAACAACTAGTTACATTTTACTCTGAGGACAAATGTTGATCTGACACTGAATATAATAATAAAAATGTAAAGCTGCTGCTATAGTTGATCCTTCAAGATCCCCCAATATAGTCGAGCCAGAGCTGCAGCAGATATTATGGGAATTTCCTCATGAATGCACTGATAACCACCCAGGTAAACTGACTTTGTGCATGGGTTTACCAGTCATGATTAAAACCAATGAGGCAACAGAGTGCTGTGTAACCAATGGTGCAGAAGGCATTGTAGCTGGATGGAAAGTCAGACCACTACCTGACAATAGAGTGGCACTGGATACATTGTTTATTAGACTTACTTCAGCACCGACCTCTATTCAGCTGGAGGGACTGCCTGAAAATGTGATACCAATTTCACACCAACCATTAAGGATTTTATGCAAAATGCTTAATGACAAAACATTGACAATTCTATGTGATCAGGTTGCTGTGATTCCTAATTTTGCTATGACAGACTTTGGCTCTCAGGGACGCACAAAACCTGACAATGTTGTGGACTTGCAAAACTGTAAAAGTCATCAGTCTATATATATCTGTTTGTGGAAAGGATCTACTTATGATGGCATGATTATTGTACAAGGCTTTGACAAGCAGAAAATGACTGGTGGGATTAGTGGATCATTAAGACAGGAGTTCTGTGAACTTGAGCTTCTGGATGAAATTACCAAACTGCGGTATAACAAGAAGTTACCAAAGAAAATACAGGGCAATACAAGAAATGCATTGATATATTCTTACCGCAAATGGAAAGGTTCACTACATATTCCCAAAACAATGCATGCTGCATTAAAGTGGTCAGAATCCTTGCCATATGAGCTGAATGATTCACCTGAGGATAGTGCTTGGCAGATGTTAATCAAGCCAAGTAAAAAAGCCAAAAATGCGGAAGAAAAGGCAGAGGAGGCTCAGCAAAAGTATGCCACTCAAAAGGCTGTTATATTGGCTAAATATATTCCCACTAAAGGCACCACAACACTGGACACAGTCAGTAATGACCAGGGAACAGTCAAGTGCAAATATACACAGGAAAAGGATGATACTGATACTTCTAGAAAAAAGACTAAATTGCATAACACAAAAGACACTGAGAACAATAGCTGCCCACAAGGATTTACATGAAATGCAGACACCTATAGTTGCACATATGACAGCTTGTTTTCTATTCTATTCAATTTATTCAAGCAAAATAAGGCAAATTGGCAGACAAATGTACGCACACAAAATGAGCTGCTGTACAAGTTTACAGCTATGTTCAAGCAAGTTATGAAAAAATAAGCTGACCATGGAGGAGGCCAGAAATAAAATAAGATGTGAGCTTCACAAGGTCAGACCAGAGGTATTTCCTGTGGAAGGTAAAGATGGCACCAACATTTATGAGCTTTGTGCCACTATACTATCCATGAAGGAGGACCATATTTCCAAAACCTATATATGTTTACATTGTACAATGGAATTTGAGTCTGAGACTGACAA